GCTTCGTCCACGGTGAAAGCCAATCCGGCGATCCACAGCACTAAGTTGATGTATTTCCTCAGCGACCAGCACGGATCAGCTCCAGGCATGACGAAGCGGATATCGTCCTCTTTTGGAAGACCAAACAAAGTAGTTTCACTTTCACAGCGAAACACACAGCGTCTTCACGACATGGCGGCGGCGGCAGCAACAATACTACAGCGAGAATAAAAGTTACGCCGCCTTTCTTTGCATGAACATTTGGGCGGCGTTATGCAAATCTTCCCACATAGTGACGTAGACATGTAGGTGTGGCTGACTCTTAACTTTTATAAAGAATATCTCTTTGGATTTGAGACTTTAGTCTTTGCAACTTTACAGATCTTCTTTATGCACCAAGAGCTTGTAACACTCCAAAGAGAAAGGAAAAATTTTAATCACATCATATTACCCCTTTAATTACGTCGCAAAGGGGGAGGGGCTATCATATATTGTTTATGAATGACAAAATAACCTTTATATAAATCATACACTACATGGTTGATTGCATAGTGTATAAGTGCATAGTGTGTCATTTGGGACACAGTTATAGTCTTGGTTTCAAGTTTTTGTCATGTTATGTTGGTTAGCTCCGCCCACAGCAAAAAATTTAGTTTTTTAAAAAAGGTTAAAAATTCTTCTCCACATATTTTAATCATCCAGTGTGTTCTGATTGGCTGTAATTGTTGCACTGCGTTTTCACTTATGAGAAAAAAAATATATGCTTGGCAGTTATGTGTATTACTTCATATTATGACATGTTATGTTATAATGTCAATGGCCCCGCCCTACCCTACTATTTTTTTTCAGGATGATGAATAGAAAATTCAAAAGCACAGCATTTTTTTAAAATAGAAATCTTTTGTAACATTATAAAAGTCTTTACTGTCACTTTTGATCAATGTAATGCATCCTTGCTCAATAAAAGTATTCATTTCTTTAAAAAAAAACGAACATTGGATATCAAATTATACAATCAAAATGGGTTTGAATACTGTTTAATTTGGACTTGAAAGAGTTCAAGCGTGTATCAGTGCAGGTGGTTTGATCTCACCGTTCTCACTCAGTTTCTCGCCGTGATTTAAAGTAACTGCTCTTTAGCACGTTGCCAGATCACTCCCGTCTCTACCTGAGAAACCTGCTCGCACGCTTAACAGTAACAACCTGCCATCTGTCTCTCACTCAGTACGTCCTCAGAGCAGCGACCCACATTGACACAGTCTGGTTTGTCTGCTAACACACTGAGAAAGCCGCTGCAGTGTGAAAATGAGTTTGTCTGGTCTGTGTCTCATCTCCATTGGGTTCTGATATGCCTCAGTTATTGCCGTCAACTGACCTAAAACACAACGTACAAGACATTCCAACCTTCACTACTTTTATCTAAGTGTCTAAAATGTTTCGGGGCTGCTGTATGTGCCTGTGTATCTTCTGATGAATGTTGTATTTGTTAACAGACAGAGAAAGGCAGTGCCCTTCATGAAGCAGCTCTATTTGGAAAGACGGAAGTAGTACAAAAACTACTCAACGCAGGTAAAAAAAAA